CTAACCAGCCGACCAATCACAGAGCTTACGGTCCGCGTCGACTCGACATGTAGTTAGATTTTTGTCCTAGATCCCCCTAGATATCCTGTTGTCTGCAATCACATCGTGTGACTAAAGGCACCCAGTGTGTTTCGTCTTGAACCCCCTCCCTTGACACCTTTCCACTGTTGGAATTATGGGGACTGCATTTGACAATTTCTGTCACTTTCCTAATGTGGGAATCTGATTGGCCCAGTGAGCAGATGTGCGAAAGTAGGCAGAGTTTAACCTCTCTCAAGTGCTTTTTTTAAATTCCTCACACAACTTTTTACCCTGTCATTTGAAACATCTATCAACACTTTTGCCTTCAGATGTGGTCGGACAACACTAAGTAGTACGAGTTTGTTACAAGCATAGCCCCATCTGTAGTCCCCCTCTAAATATGACGTCTTCCAGTTAGAATCGGTATGTTGTATTCTATGGGGCCAAATTGAATAAAACATACAGTATAACAGTTCATTTGAAAATTCTGATAAAAAGCCAGAAAATAAACTAAAACAGTAGCACAGAAGTTTAAATTCTGAGAAAAGTCTGTGACGCCAAAGTAACTTGTAAAATCAGCTTATGGTAATTGTATTAAATAACTATGTTTTGGGCCAGTTGTTTCACATTAAAAGTGATAACAAGCACTCATACAGTGTATACAGTACATGTGTCCAAAAGACAACAACCAATCCAAGGATGAGGCACCATCAAAAAGAAAAAAATACGAAGGGAAAAAACAATAATCCTGAGCAGAAAAATAATCGCAATTTAGAGAAAAGACAAGTCCTCTGACATGTGTATTTTGAGAAATATCCTTGGATTTATTGCAGATTTTAATTAATTTTTGCCATGTGGCTCTATGACTGACTCCAATACTTGGCACATTCTGATTCCCCATGGACATGTGTTCATGGAGGTCTTTATTCAAAAATGCTTTCTGCACATCATATTAATGCCAAGTGTGTGTAGCACTAAAAGATACTGTATATGGTGGTGAAATCTTGACAAAGCTAAGATGAATCAACAAAATATAAACAAATCGAGTGGTTACAGTAGTTATTTAACTTGTGTTAAGAAAAATAAACAATTTCATTTACTTCTCAGTACAAGAATATTGAAATGGATTTTTCTTTGCGGAGCCGAACGTGATTACAGTCTGTTTACCAGCTGCTAATGGAAGAGGACTGATGGGCTGTAATGCCTGTGTCACAACATAAATACTCAGTGGCACTTTGAAGGCACCGGTTTATTACAGATTGCATTCATAAACAACAGGAAAAAACAAATCGGGCGATGAGAGCTGCAGATTTTTCCGATTTGTTTTCGCTTTGCACGCCGTAGGACTAAGTCTGGGATGCAGTGTCCTGAGGTAAAACAGGGTGTGATATATATTTCATGAAGAGATCTCATTCCTTCATGCATGTGACAGTGGACTCATAAGGCCATGAGAATCATTAGGATGCAATGCTGTGTGTTGGCAGCCTCACTGACCCTTATTTATAATGACTCCATTGTCTTGGGGAACACAGACGTATATCAGGCGTAAATGAAGTAGGACAGGCACTTTAGCTGGGGAGATGAGGTGATTATAGCTCATGGATTAGTCTGGGGGAGGTGGATGATCAGTCTGACATGCACACACACACACACACACACACACACATACACAAAAGAAGTGTGCACTCAAGCTCAAGAGCACACACACAAAATTGCTCAGACCTGCAGGTTTCATATATAAACATCCACGCATTTACAGGACACAGATGCAATGACCTCACCATGACATCCAGACAAACACGGTGTGAGGTGGATTTACTGTAAACAAAGCCCACAGGGAGATGATCGTGATGCTACTGGGTTTGGGTTCAGCTCGCTCACTAGTGGTTTGCGGATTCACGGTGCACAGCAGGTGCATGTCACTGTGGTTTCCATGTTTAATTTTAGGCAGGTGCGGGTATAGACAGGTGGTTCCGGGGGCAGCTACAAGTACAGAGAGGTGTTTCATGAAGCCAGATCACCAGTGAAACCAGGCTTATATTACAGTAAGCCAGGCTTGTTTTAAGGAAATTCTGTTTCATAAAGGAGGTTTAAATGAGTCTGACCTTTAAATTATCTAGGAAAATTATACCAGGTCAGTTTAGTTTTCAGGCTTAGCTTCACCTCAGGATTAACTAGTGGTACATTTAATCTGTTGGACTGAAACACAGTGTCCAAAGTTCTTCCCTGATGGTTCATCTTTACAGCTGTACTAAAAGGGTGAGTCCATTTGTAGTACATGTCAAGTTTATAACATTTTGACATGAACGATTGCGCAATTAAAATCTGACAATCTTTCGAAGTACACTGGAATGAAATATTAAAGCTAATATAAAACTGACCCATGGCTCTTTCACCACATGTTTTCTCTTTAAACGTCACTTAAATACAATTAAAGAAAGAGACAGCCGCCATATGAGTAGCAGAGTCCAACTGATGGAGAGCCATAGTTTCTGAAAAGTTTCTGAAATTATCTTATATTCTTGCTATAAAATAAATCAACTGACTGGAGTCCTATCAAAGCTGTCTAATTTCATCACAGCACTATCCTACTTTAATACATTTTCATACATGCTCACATTTCTCATGTGAGACTTGACTCCTCATGACCAAAGCCAGAGTGCTCTAACACACTGAGCTGAGAGCTAGTCTACAGCATGCACTGAAAGTTTTGTTTTGTTTTTATGTGAGTTTTTGCTTCAATATACTACTCTTGATATTATATGTTTAACATATGCTGCTCCGTGGCTGCAAACATCTCAGTTTTGTCCTTACACATCAGTTTTCTTCACTGTGAATTGATGTCATCAGTGCAGTATGTCTCAGGTCTGTGTTTCAAAGGCATGAAATAAACCAGACTTGACGATCTCATCAGCTCTGACTAGGCTTTATGAAACAGTTTAACCCCTCAGCTTTTATTGTAAACAAACATTTCTTTTACCTTCAGGGTTTCTCACCAGAATACATTATGTGTGTCTGTTAAGCTCTTTGAACCCCCCCCCTCCTTTTAAGATAAACCGTGTGTACGCTGCCTGTCCAGTACCAAGCTACAGGCAGAGACATTTAGTGGTCATGCAACAGGAGCACTTGGAGAAAAAGCCACGCATGAAGCTAACACGCACATTTTATAAAGGTCCTTGTTGGATACAAACCTACTGAAGTTGTCTTACTCTGAGGTAGCAGTGTGGACCAGTTACCCACTGTGTCACTCAGTCACAGGCAATAAAGCATTTTATATGATATACATAAAGCATTTGATGTCTTATCCACCTGATGCCCTTTCTATTTCACTTCATTTTGCAGGTGATCACCCCTGAGCTTGTGTAAAATAAAACACCCCATCATTTGAAGTATTTCTACCCGTCCATTTAACTGTTGCTTCTATAGAAGCTATTTCCTGTTGTGCTCAATAGTTTTGAAATAAGTGTACAAGCTGTGGCATCAAGGGAGGGGCTAAAGAGATGGAGGAACTCTGAACCAGGCGAGATGGAGTTCAAAGCGCCTGTTAAGGTGGAATAAATCAGGCTGTTTGTGAACAGGAGCCACAGTTTGAGGAGCAGTTCAGTGTCTCTGTAAAGTTTACACTCCTCCTGTTGAGCCCAGCGGCCGTATACGAGCTTCCTCAGTGGTACTGTTGTTATGAGCAGGATTAGTTCAACTACCAGGCTGAAGTCTGTCTGTACCTGCTGTGACTCACTAATGTGCAATCTGCAAGCTCCATTTGGTGACGTTATGTAGTCTAAATACTTTTAATAATTCCATCCAAACAAAGGAGCAGCTCAAGTTCTCCCTGCCTATTGAATTCCTGTAAAAGAGACCTTGCAGATCCTCACACAATTCATGATGGTTTTCCCATGACCACCACTACGTGGCGCACTGAGTCATGAACCCAAACCACCGCACAGCGCACTAAAGATACAGCCCTGAAACCTGAGGGAGGCAAAGTTTTTAAGTCAGACAAATGTGTGGGCAGTTAAAAAAAAATAAACAATAGCTTAAAAAACATGAAATAGCAAACTAGAAGAAATTAAAGCAGTTTTGCTTTTGTGCTGACAGTGAAATATGTGGCTATTCTCGGGTCATTTACTGCAGATTGAAAATTTTGTTTTCCCCCAAACAAGTGAGAACTCTTCTAGCTGAGGTACTTTCACTGGTTTCAAGGCAATGTTGAGAACTGCTTTGAAGCCAGTTGCGGCCTGTCTTGAGGAAGGACAGAACACTGGGGCAGCAGCATTTACTGAGGAGATAATAAATGTCAGTAAAGTCATAAAACAGCTGAACGTTGGTTATGGCACATTAGAATAAAAGTTGTTTTATAGCATTTTAAATGGACAAATGTTAGGAATTGAAACAGATTGAGCTCATGACTGCTAAGCCAAAATAAAGCATATGAAAGGAGCTTGTTGTGCAGCACGGTGATGAAATGATCTGGGATCTGTCTGCTGGCCTGGGAAGCACAGATACCCCCCATGAGGAGGGACGTTGTTTTTGTAAGCGAAACGCCCGTCATTCAAAATCCAAGCCAATGAGACCGAGCGACCGTGAAACTGTACACTGCAAGAAATATCTGCAGCAACAAACAGCCTTAGCAGCGGCTGCACTCATAATCCCATAAGAATGTAGTTGATCATGACAGCCTCTCCTTGCGGTAAACAAGTATGTGGATTTCTACAGGGATTGGTAATATTTTATTGCCTCTTTCGGGGGGGACGGATCCGCTTTGTAAGGATTTTCTGCGGCCTGTAAAAACGTGAAGCATCACGAAGTGGAAACAAAGCAGAGCTCTTTCAACACAATATTTTGTGTAATTTGATAAAACAATATTCTAAAGTCTCTGAGACAGTTTGTTCCTTCTTTCTTTGCAGTGTGCCCCGTCTGGCACAGTAGGAGGGAGTTGGGGGGGTGGAGAGGGATTGGGGGAGGAGGGGGTTGGTCCGGGAGAGCATGGCCGCAGGAGCCAGATCGCTGACTTGGTTTGGTTCCTCCACATTGATAACACCGCTTCTAGAGCCGGTCGTCAGGGGACATTTAACCCGGAGATTGTGTGCGTTTACGCGCGGCGGAGCTTTGATTTACTGAGTGCGTTGCTGTTCGACAGGGCAGAGGCGCACGGGCAGCTGCGGGCTCAGCGGAGCTGTCTGAAGGTTTCTTTTTGGCGTCTTGGTGATTCAAAGCGAACAGGAGGAGAGATCCTGAGCCGGAGAGAGCGGCGGCACAAGGACTGCGTTTCTGCTTGCTTTATCTTTGCATTGTGGAACATTTATTCTCAGATTTTCTTTTTTTTCCCAGTTCGTACGCAACGTTGCGATCCTCTCTGGGAAATTCAATGTGAGTTGGAGAAACTGTTCGCTGCTCGGAGCGGAGTTGATCCGGTGGGAGAGTGTTCGTAGCGCAGGCAGAATTGTTGTGGATTTTCAACATCAATTCACTTCTTTAAGTAGAACTGGTTTTCATTCAAGAGTGAGCGGTTGGTGTAAAGCAATCTATCTGACTGACAAGAAACCGCTGTTTTCACTGAAGAAAGACATTTAAGCTTTAATTTTGTAATTGATACCGAGGAGAGAGCAACGTCTGTGCGGGAAAGCGTGAAGTTCACTCTCATCCCTTCTCATCCCCACACTTCACCACCGCCTCCATCAGAATCTTTAAACCTGAACCAGAGGAGGGACTGTAATCAGTTTGGCTTCGTCGGGGTTGCAGAGCAAATATGCCGCAGGTGGAAATGATCCTCTTCCTCATCCTCATCATTGGGATGTGTGTGTACGGCCAGGACCCGGCTTCCAAGGTGGTGTCCGACCGCTACGCCGTCTACTGGAACCGGACCAACCCCAGGTAAGCAGCCGCCCGCTTCCCCGAAGGGACGCACCACACACAGGGGCCCCTCCGCCCGCAGGAGGCGGCTGACTTCACCCTTCACGTTACCCGGTTGAAGCTGCACTCTTCTCGGTTTACAGTTGTTTCACTGTTGAGTGAATGGATGTGCAGTCTGTACGCTCTGAGCCCCACTTGAGACATCACACGTGCTAAAAATCTAAGTAATTCAATTAGAGAAGCAAAACAAAACTCTCCCGTTATTACATCATCATTTCTAACAATTCCTATTATGGTGTTAACATTTGATTTGAATTACTACCATTATGAACACGTTTTCGGCACACACAAGGTCGGTGCAGTGAGTGTTTGAGGTTTACTCTGCTACTGCAAGCTTCGTTTGCTGTCTTCAATGATGGATTGTTGTGGTGATCACAGTTTAATAATCCTCTGTATCTGGATCATCGTTGCAATCAACGGTGCACACTGAGCAGCATACGTTATAATTGACAGAGGATCAACAAGGCGTTTCACACAGGTTGTCCGCTATTACGCACCATTACGCGCTATTACGCATTAATGTTGTGTATTTGCCCCACGTTCAGGTCAAAATGAAACACATGCGTGTTACGTGCTCTGGGAGAATTGGCAGAATTGATTTTTGTGCCAAAGGGAGACTTCCTGGGATACTTTAGAGATATTTGTGTCTAGTTTATGTGATTTATTATTCATTGGACTATTACAGTGACACACTTTTCTCAGAAAGTGCTGATAAAGAGTATTGTGTTGTGTTGGATGACATAAAACCTGCGGATAAAAACTTCTGCTTGCTTCCTGGTTATGTGTTACATTTGCACAAAGTCGTTTCATATCAGCTCAGATCCTTCTAGATTAAATGCTAAAGTGACATTTCTCTTTCTAAACTCCCTCCTGTGTGTGTCAGGGCACCTCCCTTGGTGACTCATTGCTTCACTCTTGGCAATTGAGCACATAGTGATATAATGAGTGTGTGTCACTTTGTTTCAGTTGGACAGGAATACTTACTCTTTGCTCTGGTATCAGCAGGCTACAGTTTCGGCATGAGTCAAAAAAAGAGACATTTAAATCAAAATTTGCTCAGGGACAAGAAACTGGTTTGTTGGGCTTTTTAGAGGGGTTGAACCGACAAGATGTTAATGATACAAATGCAAATGTTGTGGAGGTGACATCAAAGGCTACTGGACTTCTCTTCTAACAGACAGACAGATACGGGTGTCTGATAAGAGCTTTCTGTCCCACTAACAGGCTGCAGGTTGGTTTTTTCCTTTCTCTTGGCCTTTAAACAGTTCCCAGTTCCCAAGTCTGGTTTCTGGGTTGCCATGCTTCCCCCGTCCAAGTGTCCTCCCACACCCCCCTGGCCCACGCTGGGGTAGACAATAAGGGGGTACACAGGGGTATTTCAGCTGAGGCCAAGGCACAGCATGGTGCTCGGTCTTGTGAGAGATCCACACATGCTGAGGTCACACACTTGGTAGTAACCAGGCGAGTTGTGGGTTAAGCAGCACAGAGGGGACCGTTGTCAGGGTCAAAACCGGGGCAGTACCGCAGCCATGGGGCCCGGTGACGGCCTCGGCATGGCACCCTGCCTGGGCTTTGTCCCTGCAGAATGGAGGCTAAATAAATGAGTAACTCTAAATGACTGTCTCCTTTTCTCATTCATGACTTTAATCTAAACCTGACCTGGGCTGTATAATGTAAGAGAGGGCTGTGCTTAAAGCCTGGGGCCCCCTGACCTGCAGCAGAACCTAACAGTATTCCATGCAAGCTCGCGGGCCCCAGATCCCTGCTGTTTAATGTAACCATACTCAGTATTGGAGCCCTGGGAACCTGCTGCGGTACAGTCCCAATTTCCAGATGAGCTTTCTTACCCCCCCCTTCTGCCTCTTTGACCAAAGTGGGGAAAAATGGCATCCGGAGCAGCAGTCCATACTCAGCCATTCATGAAATCCCCTACAGGAGCTCTGGAATTGAAATGGGAAGTGAGTCGTGAAGAATGGAAATACGATGACATTTCCATGTTTTTGTATTGTTTTAAAGGGGTTGAAAGGAAACTTTTTGTAATTTAGGTAAACGCGGGTCCATGTCTACTATGCTTGCATCTCAAGGAAACATCTTCACCCTCTGATGCTTCTTGCTGATTAGGCTTGGACAAACAGGACTCGGAGCCGTGGAGGAGGGATTTACAATCCTGAGGATGGTTCAGCTTTGCCTGGAGTTTGAAAAGCTTCCACAGTGACAGCGAGTAGCTGTGATCGTATAAGCTACCTAATGAAATTAAATAGAACTCCAGGATCAGGGAGCCTTCTTAGAAAGACATCTGAGACACAATTGATGTAATGACTCAAGGTTGTTTTTTTGATGCCAGATCACCCCACAAACAACCAAAAAGGCTTGAGATATTTGTGTCATTTTGGTATTCATCAGTCAAATGTATAGCATTGCATTGCAATATTTTGAATTGTTTGGTTTGCTTAGAGTCAGCCCATTAGTCAGGGGATGTAATGTGCGTAAAATGTGCACATAGTTGCTGTGCAGGTTTGGAAAGCCTGGGAGTGCTCCTAATTTGGATGTAACCCAAAAAAAAAAAAAAAATGACAGTAGATGCCAAAACACTCTTTTGACTCCTTTGAGTTGCAGACCCAGAGTGGTTTCAGACATTGTGATAGAAGAATCATGAAGAGTAATGCGTAGTGGCCTTACTACAACGCCTGGGTCATATTGATAAGGTATCATAAGCAATATTTACACATTCATAAGTGCTTGGTTCCACTTTCTAATAAGTGATACTGTAAAAGTTGTTACTAATGGATTTATTAATGTTAATAAATAATTAATTATTATATATAAATCAGCAAAGACCCTTTTAGACACAATGCAATTTGAGATGCATTCACTGCTAGGTTCAGCGCTGAAGATGCATCTGTCTGGTGCTGACACACACAATATTATCCTTCTTATCCTTCATTCTTCTTATCCTTCATTTTCTTTCCATGCCCTGCTGGCTGCCTCATTTCTCTTGGACATGTGTGTATTCGTCACAGCATGCTTTGCTCAATGCAGTGAAAAGCCATCGTGGCGCTGCGCAAGCCATTGGAAATCATGGGTTTCAGATGGCAGTGATGCTGTTGTTGCGTTGTGCCTGAAAAGGCCTAAAGAAGGCTTTTGTCAGAACAACTTTTGTGTTGCCAGGTTGCAAAGTGACCCTCCAGTTCCACCTCAAACCTTCTGAAAAAGGGCTGCAGAACATGAAGACCAAAACCCATTTATTAACAACTTATTGACATTTACAACTGCAGACTATAGTAGTGGAAGAACCCTTTATTAATGACTTACTAACATTATAATCACACACCTGAAGGCTTATTACAAAGTGAGAAACTTATTTTTTTTAAATGAAAATGTAGAAATTTAATTGAAAATTTTGTGTGTAGCTGTTATACATGTGGCCCCTGTCACGTTGACAAAGCACTATTAGCACGATAGGTAAGTTAACAAGTTGAAGCAAATGGTTAAGAAATTATTTAGAAATAATCAGAGGTTGTGGTGGCATAAGCTACTTGCTGATGTCTGATCAATAAAACATTAATAAATTACGTATTAACCATTATTAAACATTAGTTACATCTCATAAACCTTTTTTCTAAAGCTATCCCTATTAGAAGTTGTAAATGTTGTATGCTTTATTAGAAAGTGGCATAAAGACAAAACATTCCAATGAAGACAACAAATCAAAACCTAGAAAATAAAAAATCTCTCTTTTCATGGTGGAAAAGCTCATGGAAGAAAAATGAGCCACAGATGTCTCTTGTCAGCTTTGTCATGTGTGTTGGTAACAAACGACGGAATAAAGTGTGTGAGTGGGGTATTTACTGCTGCTCTGACAAGGAGCCATTAGTGAATTCCCTGCTCACCAGCTATTTAGCTGCTTCATTAAAACCCACCCGCGTACATATGGTCCGCACACAGGCGTTGCCGTGGCCCAAGGTGTTTATTTGCTGCTGATAGGTGGGATCAACGGAGAATCAGGGCCGAGTTCCGTCCCTAATCTCCCAAGCTGTTTGTGTCTCAGACGCCATGGAAACTGATACCCCTCGTCATCAAAGAACCTCATTGGGTGGGACTAACAACATGACAGCTGGGGTGAGAGGGATTCCTGCATTCAGGGAGAGCACTATCACCCCAGGGGTTTCCTTTAATCCCTGATAATGCCCATCCAAAGCTTTCCCCAGCAGATGCAACACATTTCTCCATAAGACAATCAAAGATGCTTTTCACCGGCCTGTTTTCATGTCTGACATAAGTGTGTATTGATTTAAAAGACCTCTTTGATGATCTAAATAGTATTTTCCCTCTCAGTTTCTGGACATACTTGATTGTTTTTGGTCGAGGTAATAGAATTGGGAGTAAACTCCTTGATTTGACACTTGCGCACATTTCTCCTCATAGCAGAATGACCTCTGCTATTTGCTTTTCTTACAATGCTCTCTTTTTAATCTCCACTTAGAGAAACAATGCTTCATTTTTCACTTGGTGGCGAGCTGATGTTGTGATAGTTTCCCAGTGGCATTGTGTGTTGCCCCGTTTGTATTGTTCCCAGTGTTTACCCTCGCTTTCCCCTCAGCCTTTTCCCGGCTCCCTGCCGCTCGGTTCCGCTTGGATTAAAAACGGACACAAAAAGGCTACCACGTCCAAATATTGACTGGGTCTCAGGACCGCAGCCCTCTCCCAGCACCAGCACAGAGCGCCTGAAAGGCCGCTATTGTTCTGCTCGTACTCAGCGGCCCATAGCCGGATTTGGGCTGTGCAGAGAGACAGACTGAGAGAAGGAGGAGACGGGAGAGGTGGTTGTGGAGAGTGTGCATAAGTTATCTGAGGTGGGGCAGGGGGATTATAACAGGAGGGACAGCACACTGAAGGGTTGAGAGAAACTTCCGCATAAGAGGCCAGAGGCTACGACAGGGAACAGTGTCCAGGCCGCGGAG